GATGCAATCTCTTTATCTTAGTTTTATGAGTAGGTGGTTAATTTAAGTAATGGTAATCTGAGGCTGAATAAATAGCGAAGATGTTATAACTGATAGAGCTTAATTTAGTAATAACAATAAGAGAATTTATAAATTTGTAAAAATTTGAATGGTGGCATTTGAATTAATTTTATAATTATAATTAGTATTCCTAATATATAAGAATTAATTTAGAATTATTAGAAATAAATATTTAATCTATTGTCCTTACCTGTTTCTTTAGAATTGGGGTATGATAGTATGAAAATAAGAAAGAGACTAATAATGTATAAATTTAAATATTTTTATCAACATATATATTCTTGGTTAATCAATTATTCAAGTTATTCATACAAAAAATAAATCTGTACTCTACCCTATGATGCAATTCATTACTCCCATAATCGCTTTAGAATACTTCCTTTGTAACTTTTTGACAATAGATCAAGCACCATTAAGATTAGACAAATTTGATGTTTAAGCTAAACTTTCTCTCACTTTGCAAGAACAAAAAATTTATGATTACTCTAAAGTTAAGAAGGAAAGTAAGATAGAAAGTAAGAGTGCATTACAGGTTGTATTATCAGTTGCATTTGAATTATATGAGCATATCCTTATAGCACAAGCAGTGGTATCTGTTGCTGAAGCAATATTAGTACAATAGGCTGGATAATTTTAACAAGTTGATTGTGGAATTCGATTTATGATGAACGAATATTTGTATTATTTAATTATGAAGAATATCATCCATCTTTTAACAAAGATATAAGCACATCTAATTTTGTTGGTAAGGCTTGAATGGATCCTCATGATGATTTTATGTTTATTTATACAGAGTTAATTGTTAATTTTAATAAAATAAATTTTAGTTAATATTAAGGGGATGTTTTTTAGTTTAAGTAATTTTTTTTATCAGTGAACAAATACTAAATTTATCTATTTAAACGTTAAATTGAAATAAATAAATTAAAAAAAATATAGATAAGTATTTTAAATATTAAGTTGAATGGTAAATTAGGAGGAAAAATAATATATTTGAGAACATTTTGGGACAACAATAAAAAATTAAAGTTACATAGTCATAACTAAGGTGCTTTTAAAAAAGGAAATTATGCATAGTTGTCTAAAAACAATAAAATGCTTCTTAGGATTTTAAAAAAAATCTTCTAAACTGCTTGTATAAAAGCTAGAAACTCTATTTATCAAAATATTTATATTTAGTAATAAATAATAACTCAATCTATAAATTTCATGGATCATCCTGGCCAATTTTAATTATTCTAAAATACTATAGATTAAGAACTTTTCTTGTTTAGTCAATTTTCACAGAACTATATTTAGAGTATTCTAGAAAAACTGAAACTCAATATTGTAAGATTTTGATTAATCAAAATAAGAAAAGGGCTTAATTTTAATGTTTTAATATCCTTCTAACAGTGTTGCCATTAAAATCCAAAACCTATATTTTATTCTATTATATTCAGAATAATAAAACATCAAGTTTGAGACCGAAAGAATTTTTATTAATTTATCTTTCGATCTTGATTTTGGTTTATTTTTGTGAGTGGAACTGATGAAGATGCTAATAAATGTGTTTATCTTGAAAGTTTAAATACAAAAAAGCAAAAAATATTATATCGCTCATTCTCCTTGTATTTCTAAAAGTACATCTACAAAAATATCCAATTAATGTACATTATCTGATTCATCATGTTGACTTAAAAAGCCTCATGTATTAATTACATCAAATCAGCAGCTTGTACCCAAGATTTAATGGAGGTTAGACTTGATCATTCTAGAATGCAATGTTAATTTTATTTGAGTTGAGGTGTCTAGTTTAAATAATAATTGTTGGTTATTGTATTGTGATTCATTGAATGAAAAGGATTCTGTTAATTAATTGAGGCTGCTTGTGCAGTTGGATAAAACTCTTCTAATAAATACACAGTTGATGGAGATTGCAAATGGACATTAGAGATTGTATTTGAAGTTCTATTTGTAGGCCAATGAACTCTCAAATGATAATGAATGTAAATCATAAATAATGAAACTAAGCAAGTTGCTTTCATTTATGTTATATATATTAATAATAAAAGAAACGCTATTAATTATATAGAGGAATTATGTGGGATCATTTTGATATAAATAAAAAAACTAAAATTTTTGAAAAAAAATAAAATAACTTGAACTTTTGTTCTTTTAAGTAAAATTTAAGTGCTTCTACTAAATATAAATTATAGTATTACTTATTAGAGGTATTTATTGAAGGTTATTATATCTCGTTTGATATCTTTATTTTATTTCCAGTAAATTCTAAAACTTATTTAATTTAGCTGTCAAGGTTATTTATAAAGTACGAGAATAAAAATTCGTTCATACATCTCTAGATATAGAAGGAAATCTAATATTTCAATGCTTGAAAAATAAAATTTAAATCATGTTTTTTATTTATCAACAAATTATTCTATTTAATATTTATTATTAAGCAATCCTGTGAAAACTTTTTTCAAAGCTTTTAAATTTTACTTCTCTTAACTTTATTTAATTGCTTTAATGCATTTTTATTGACTTTGACTATATCTTCAAATCTTCCTTTTCTTGATTGCATAGTTTTTCTATTCCTTTTACAGTTTTATTTAATTCATCAAAATTTTTGCTGAATAAATTAAATCTATAAACATAATTTATATTT